ACTTGATCTGGAACTCCAGGATCACACCCTGGGCTAAGCCACTGACCACTCAGGCATCTCTATATTTGTTAATTGACTCTAAATTTGCTTTGAAAGAGCTGTAGAACTACAAAAATATTTACATAAGGTGCAATCCATTTGAAAATCAAACAATTCAATGCAATAAAGCAAGCAATGCTACTAAGGCAGAGTGGAAGAGTCAAAGGGGGATCAGCCAGCTGGCAGACAGCAGGATCTCTCAAACGTAAATGTGCATACAATTCCCCTGGTTTTCTTGATAAAACACAGCTTCTCATTGGTAGTCTGAGTGTGGCTTGAGCTTTTGCATTTCTAAATAGCTCCTAGAAGATGCTGGTCCATGGACTGCACTGAGTAGTGAAGTGCTATGAGGGCACAGAAAGAGGAAGGGCTCATGGTGGCCTGGAAGGCTTCATGAAGAGGAAGGTTCTAGATGGCTGTGGAAGGAGCAGAATTTAAGTAGATGAGGAGGGAAAGAGAGCATTTCAGGTGCAAAGATTTTCTTAACAAAGGCACAAGAGTGGGAATGAACTTAATTTGGTAGGAGAGCTCCTAGCCTGAATTTGGCTGCAAGAGAGAGTTTATGTAGTGGAGAGGAGGAAGTGAGTTTAGATTGGAAGTTTTGAATATTGGGCTAAAGATCATTGACTTTATATTATAGGCAACAGACAAGATGTTAGGGAAGAAGAGGGTGTGAGCATCCACATGATCCTCTTGAACAAAGAGGATGAACAAAGGCAGAACACGATTAGCTGTGTGCCACAAAGGTGGGTTACAGGGAGCTTATAGGCACTCTACTGCAGAGCATCTGAGATAAGCTTAACTGTATCCTCTAAAAATTCATGTGTTGAAGCCTTAAACCCCAGTACTTCAAAGTGGGATTCAAGAAATGATTAAGCTAAAATGGGGTTATTAGGGTGGGCCCTAACATAACACAACTGGTGTCCTTCTAAGAAAAGGAAATTTGAACATAGTTATATAGGGAAGAGAATGCGAAGATACAGAAAAAAAGACATCTATAAGCCAAGGAGAGAGGCCTAGAAGAAAAGATACCTTGATCTTGGACTTCTAGCCACTAGAATAGTGAGAAAATAAATTTCAGCTATTCAAGCCACTCAGTCTGTACTTTGTTATGGCAACCCTAGCAAACTAATATAGCACCATTTTCTCTTCCTTCCTTTCCTTAATCAGTCAACTAAATGTATGGCCCGTCTGCCATACACAAAATACTGTTATGGGCACAGAGGGAAATAGAGAAAAGTACAGGATAAAAAGAAACATAAGGCATAGATTTGCTCTCAAGAAGGTGCCATTCCCAGAGGACTTCTGGGGAAGATGGCAGAGTAGGAAGACCCTAAGCTCACCTTGTCCCATGGATACAACTAGATGACACTTACATCAGTGTTTATAACCCAGAAAACAACCTGAAGATTGGCAGAATAAACTCCACAACTGAATATAAAGAGGCCACAAAGAGGACAGGAGGGCAGAGAAGTGGTTGGAAACTAAATGAACTTGAGGGACTGTCTACAGGAGGGAGGGACACAATGGGAACAGAGAGGGAGAGCAACAAATGCCCACACTGGGGATCCCACACAGGGAAGATGAATTCCTGTAACAGTTGGCTTTGAAAACCAGAGGGGTTGAATTTCATGAGTTCTTACAACTAGTGGGATTTAAAACCTGGAATTGTAAAGAAATCAGTGGCTCAGCTCTGGGAAAGCTGGTAGGCTAGAGGAACCGGAGTTTCTGTCCCTAAAGAGAAAACACAACAGCCTGTGGAGATACAGCCATAGAAGCAACAGTCTGAAAAGTGCCTGGGGCATATGGGAAGAAGAGTTATTTACTAATATCAGAGCATGTCCCAGAAGGACAGAAATCCCTGGGGAACTCCTCTGGGAGCAAAGGAACTGGCAGGTGCCATTTCCCTGCCCTGCTGCCCAGGATAAACACATGGACACCTCCAGGACTTGCTATCTAACTAGTGAGCATTGCTGCCCCACACTCCCATGTTGTGCTTTTGCCAATCTACCTCTCCAGACAGCCTGCCTCAGTCCAGGTGCTGCAGGGCCCTCCCATAGAGGAAAGGAGACAGGCAAAGCTTGCTAGCATTGTTGCACCTGCCTCACTTTTGAGCTTGGGTGGATCTGCCCTCTTCAGAACTGTCTTGGCCAGAACCCATACAAGGCAGTGTCACAGGCCTGGCAGTGTGCAAGCAACCCTTATAGTGGCCAGCACCTGGAGAGTGGGAAAGATAAACACAAACACAAGTCCGATGGAGGCCCCAGCAGTGGGCTGGAGGCAGACAACTGGTCTGACTGCAGGCCCTGCCTACCACTGAAAGCTTTTCAGGGGACAATACAGTGAAAGTGCCCCGCAGTTTGGTGCTACTACATCTCTGACAAATTCCTGGTCTGACTCAATTTAAGTCCAAGGTGTCCTCAGTCTGGCTCACCAACACTGTAAGGATCAAACACTGCCCACAGCAGGCAAAGAGCCACTGCAGATGGCTGGACTGAAGGAAAAGGCAGACAGATACAACAGGAGGGTGTAGGCATCACAAATAGGAGATATCCCCAAAGTGCCAGGTTCTAGTGAACAGGGGACTGCACAACAGGGTACTATAGGATCTCTCTGGGGAAGCACATTATTTTCAAGTGCAGGAGATATAGCTGTCCTTCCTAACACAGAGAAACAGAAACAAAGAGTTAGACAAACTGAAAAGACAGAAAAATATGTCACAAATGAAAGAACAGGACAATATCACAGCAAGAGACCCAAGTGAAATGGTGATAAGTAGTATGCCTGATAGAGAATTTAAAGTAATGGTCATAAAAATACTCACTGGACCTGAGAAAAGAATGGAAGACATCAGTTAGACCCTTAGCAATGAGATTTTTAAAAAAACTAATCAAAGATGAAGAACACAATAAATGAAATTTAAAATACACTAAATAGTAGTAGACTAGACAAAGCAAAAGGAATCAATGGCCTGGAGGACAGTAACGGAAAGCAATCAAACTGAGCAGGTGTGAGAAAAAAATATGCAAACTGAGAATAGACTTAGGAAGTCAGCAACACTAGATCCCAAAAGGAGAAAAGAAAGAAAAGAGGGGATCCCTGGGTGGCTCAGCAGTTTAGCGCCTGTCTTTGGCCCAGGTAGCGGTCCTGGAGTCTCAGATCGAGTCCTGCGTCAGGCTCCCTTCATGGAGCCTGCTTCTCCCTCTGCCTGTGTCTCTGCCTCTCTCTCTCTGTGTCTATCATGAATAAATAAATAAAATCTTAAAAAAAAAAAAGAAAAGAGAACAGAATTTTTAAAAATATTTTTTTAAAAACTTATTTGACAGAGTGTGAGAGAGTGCACAAGCAGGGGGAGCAGTAGGCAGAGAGAGAGGGAGAAGCAGGCCCCTCCCCCAGTAGGGAACAGAGCATGGGGCCCAATACTAGGACCTTGAGATCATGAGGTGAACTGAAGGCAGACACTTAACTGACTGAGCCACCCAGGTGCCCCAGGAGCAGAAAATTTATTTGAAGAAATAACTGCAAACTTCTTGAATTTAGGGAAGGAAACAGAAATCCAGATCCAGGAGGCAGAGATTCCCCCAACAAAATAAACCCAAGGAGGTCCACACCAAGACATAGTAATTAAGATGGCAAAAAGTAAGGACAAACATTATATGTTCTCATTCATTTGGGGAATATAAATAATAGTGAAAGGGAATAGAAGGGAAGGGAGAAGAAATGGGTAGGAAATATCAGTAAGGGAGACAGAACATAAAGACTCCTAACTCTGGGAAACGAACTAGGGGTGGTGGAAGGGGAGGAGGGTGGGGGTGAGGGTGAATGGGTGACGGGCACTGAGGGGGGCACTTGATGGGATGAGCACTGGGTGTTATTCTGTATGTTGGCAAACTGAACACCAATAAAAATAATAAATTTATTATTAAAAAAATAAAAATAAAAATAAAATGAAAGTGAAAAAAAATAAAATAAAAAGATGGCAAAAAGTAATAAAGAGATAATTTTTTTTTTAATGATAGTCACACACACACACAGAGAGAGGCAGAGACACAGGAAGAGGGAGAAGCAGGCTCCATGCACCGGGAGCCCGACGTGGGATTCGATCCCGGGTCTCCAGGATCGCGCCCTGGGCCAAAGGCAGGCGCTAAACTGCTGTGCCACCCAGGGATCCCAAAGAGATAATTTTAAAAGCAGAGAGAGAGACAGAGAGAGAGAGAGAGAGAGAGAGAGAGAGAAACAGTTACATACAAGGGAACCCCTTAAGGCTATCAGATGATTTTTCAGCAGAAACTGCAGGCCAGAAGGGAGTGTCATGATATATTCAAGTGCTAAAAGGAAAAAAAAAATCTGCATCCAAGAATATTCTAACCAGCAAGACTATTATTATTCAGAATAGGAGAGGTAAAAGGATGCCTGGGTGGCTCAGCAGTTGAGTGTCTGTCTTTGGCTCAGGGCCTGATCCTAGGATCTAGGATAGAGTCCCACCTCAGGCTCCCTGCGCGGAGCCCGATTCTCCCTCCTCCTATGTCTCTGTCTCTTTGTCTCTGTGCCTCTCATGAATAAAGAAAGAAATCTTTTTTAAAAAAATAAAGTAAAATAAAGGAGAGGTAAAGAGTTTACTAAATAAAAATTAAGGGAATTCAAAACCATTAAATTCTCTAAGAAATGTTAAAGGGAACTCTCTGAGTAGAAAGAAAAACTATGCAATAGTAAGGAAAGTAGGAAGCACAAAAGCAGTAAAAATAAATATATCTGTAAAAATCAGTCAAGGGACTCACAAAACAAATGGGTGTGAAGTAAGACACCATATACCTAAAATGTGGGGAGGAGAGGAATAAACAATGGGTTCTAACTTAAGCAACCATCAGCTTAATACAAGACTGCTATATATAGAAGATATTATATACAAACCAAATGGTAACCACAAATCAAAAATGAGTAAAAGATATGCAAAAAATAAAGAGAAAGGAATCCAAATATATCACTAAAGAAAGCCAGCAAACCATGAAAGAGAGCAATGGAAGAAAGTTTTTAATTAGCAATAATCGTGCCTTGGATAAACCTCATTGGCTACAATACTGCCACCGCGCAAAGCTGGCAATGGAAGAAAGGAATGGAGAAAAACGACAAAATCAACCATAAAACAAGTAACAAAATGGCAGTAAATACACTTCAATAATTATTGTGTAGTGCCTGGTTGGCCTAGTCAATAGATCATCCAACTCTAGAACTTGGAGTCATGAATTTAAGCCCCACTTTGGGTGTAGAGATTACTTAAACAAACAAAACAAACCCCCAAGGAACTGGGAGGCAAGGTCATGTCCTAAAAACAAGAAAAAATTACTTTAAATATAAATGGACTAAACATTCCACTCAAAAGACACAGGATGACAGAGTAGATTAAAAAAAAAAAAAACAAGACTCATATATAGGTTGCCTACAAGAGACTCATTTTAGACCTAAAGACACATGCAGATTGAAAGTGAGGGTTAGAGAAGCATTTTTCATATGAATGGACATCAAATGAAGGCCAGAGCAGCAATACTTATACTGAACAAGATAGACTTTAAAAGTAAGACTGTAGGGATGCCTGGGTGGCTCAGAAGTTGAGCATCTGCCTTTGGCTCACGTGGTGATCCTGGAGTTCCAGGATCAAGTCACACATCGGGCTCCCTGCATGGAGTCTGCTTCTCCCTCTGCCTATATCTCTGCCTCTCTCTACTCTGTGTCTCTCATGAATAAATAAATAAAATCTTAAAAAAGAAAACTAAGACTGTAACAAGAGACAGAGAAGGAGACTGTATAATAATAAGGGGGGCAATCCAACAAGAAGATATACCAATTATAAATATTTATGCACCCAACATGGGAGTACCCAAATTAGCAAACATAAATACTGTTGTATTCAAGAGCAATACAATAATAGTAGGGGACTTTAACACCCAACTTACATCGATGGACAGATCATCCAAAAAAGAGAATCAACAAGGAAAACAGTGGCCTTGAATGGTTCATTGGACTAGATGGACCTAACCAATATATTTAGAATATTCCATCTTAAAACAGCAGAATACACATTCTTTTCAAATGCACAGGGAACATTTTCCAGGATAGATCACATGTTAGGCCACAAAGAAGTCTCAACAAGTTCAGAAAGACTGAGGTCATAGTATGCATCTTTTCCAACTACAGCACTATGAAACTAGAAATCAACTACAAGAAAAAATTGGGAAAGACCACAAATACATAAGGTTAAATAACACGCTACTAAACAATGAATGGGTCAACTAAAATCAAAGAGGAAATAAAAACACATGGAAACAAATAAAATTGAAAACACGGTGGTCTAAAATCTTTGAGATGCAGCAAAATCTGTTCTAAGAGAAGTTTATAGCAATACAAGCCTACCTCAAGAAGCAAGAAAAATCTCAAATAAACAACCTAACCTTACACCTAAAGGAGTTTAAAAAAACCAAAACCCAAAACACATGGAAAGAGAGAACTAATAAACATTAGAGCAGAAAAAAAATGAATAAAAACTTAAAAGCAATAGAACAGGTCAAAAAAATCAAGAGTTGTTTCCTTTAAAGATAGACAAAACTGATAAATTTTAGCCAGACTCATAAAAAAAGAAGACTTGAGTAAACAAACTTAAAAGTGAAAAGAGGAGAGATAATAACCAACACCACAGAAATCCAAAGAATCATAAGAGAATGCTATGGAAAAATTATATGCCGACAAATTGGACAGCTGGAAGAAATCCATAAACTCCTAGAAATGTATAACCTCCCAAAACTGAATCAGGAAGAAATAGAAAATTTGAACAGACCCATTGCCAGCAATGAAATTGAATAAAAAGTCTCCAAACAAACAAAAGTCCAAGGCCAGATGGCTTCACAGGCAAAATCTACTAAATATTTAAAGAAGAGTTAATACCTATTATCTCAAACTATTCCAAAAAATAGAAGAGAAAGAAAAGCTTCCAAATTTATTCTGTGAGGCCAATTTTATCCTGATATTAAAACCAGATAAAGATACCACAAAAAAGAGAATAGGCCAATATCCCTAATGGACAGAGATGCAAAAATCCTAAACAAAATATTAGCAAACTGAATCCAACAATACATTAAAAAATAATTCATCACAATTAAGTGGGATTTATTCCTGGGATGCAAGAGTGCTTCAATCTTTACAAATTAATCAACATGATACCTCAAGATAGAAGAGGAAAGAAAAAATCATATGATCACTCAATACATGCAGAAAAACATTTGACAAAGTCTACATCCATTCATGATAAAAACTCTCAACAAGGTAGGTTTAGAGGAAACATACTTCAAAATAATAAAGACCATATGTGAAAAATGAATAACTAATATCACACTCAATGGTGAAAAAGAGCTTTTCCTCTAAGATCAAGAACAAGACAAGGACGTCCACTCTCACTACTATTATTCACCATATTATTAGAAGTCCCAGCTATAGCAATCAGAAAAGAAAAAGAAATAAGAGACATCCAAATTGGTAAGAAGAAGTAAAACTGTCACTAAAGACTCTGCCAAGAAACTGCTTGAACTAATAAATGAATTTAGTATGGTTGCAGGACACATAATCAATATACAGAAATCCATTGCATTTCTATACAGTAATAATGAAGCAGCACAAAGAGAAATTAAGAAAATAATCCCATTTACAATTGCACCAAAAATAATAAAATACCAAGGGATGAACTTAAGCTTGGCTGAATAACATAAAACACTGAAAGAAATTGAAGATGACACAAATGGAAAGTTATTCCATGCTCATGTATTGGAAGAATAAATATTAAAATGTCCATACCTCCTAAGCAATCTACAGATTTAATGCAATCCCTATTCAAAATACCAATAGGATTTTTCAAAGAAATAGAACAAATAACCCTAAAATTTGAATGGAAACACAAAAAAACCTTAAATAGACAAAGCAATCTTGAAAAAGAACAAAACTGGATACATTACAATTCCAGATTTCAAGATCTACTACAAAGCTGTAGTAATCAAAACAGCACTGTAGTGGCATAAAAACAGATACACAGATCAATGGAACAGAATAGAAAGCCCAAAAGCAAACCCATAGTTACATTGTCAATTAATCTTTGACAAAGTAGATAAGAATAGGCAATGAGAAAAAGAACATCTCTTCAGCAAATGGTGTTGGGAAAACTCTATAGCTACATGTAAAAGAATGAAACTGGACCACTCCCTCACATTATACACAATAGTAAGCTCAAAATGGATCACAGACCTAAATGTGAGACCGGACACCATAAAAATCCTAGAAGAAAGCACAGGCAGTGATATCTCTGACATTAACTGTAGCATCATTTTCTAGATATGTCTCCTGAGGCAAGGGAAACAAAAGCAAAAATAAACTAGTGAGAATACATTAAAATAAAAAGATTCTGTACAGCAAAGGAAACATTAAAAAAAAAACTAAAAGGGAACCTACTGAAAGAGAGAAATTTACAAATGACATAACTGATAAAGGGTTAGTATCCTAAATAAATAAAGAACTTATATAACTCAACACACAAAAAGCCAAATGATCCAACTGAAAAATGGCCAGAAGATATGAATAGACATTTCTCCAAAAAAGACATCCAGATGGCCAGCAGATGCATGAAAAGATGTTCATCACTCCTTATCAGGGAAATGAAAATCAAAACCATGAGATATCACCTTACATTGTTATAATGGCAAAAATAAAAGAAATAAATGTTTGTGAGGATGTGGAGAAATCAAAATAAAAAACAAGTGTTGGTGAGGATGTGGAAAAAAAGGAACCCTTGTGTACTGTTGGTGGGAATGTAAACTGGTGCAGCCACTGGGGTAGACAAAATGAAAGTTCCTCAAAAAATTAAAAATAGAGTTACCATATGATCCAGTAATTCCTACTACTGGATATTTACCCAAAGAATACAAAACACTAAATTAAAAGGATATATGCACCCCTTGTTTTTTGCAGCATTATTTATAGCAGCCAAATTATGGAAGCAGCCCAAGTGTCCATGTATTGATGAATGGATAAAGAAATGAGGTGTATATATAATGGAATTATCCAGTTACAAAAAAGAATGAAATCTTGCCAATTGCAACAACATGGATAGAGCTAGAGAGTATAATGCTAAGTGAAATAAGTTAGTCAAAGACAAATACCATATTAATTTACTCATATTTAGAATTTAAGGAACAAATAAGAAAACAGAGAGTCAGAAACAAATCAAGGAACAGACTTAATTATAGAGAACAAAAAGATGGTTACAAGGGGGAGGTGGGTGGAGGGAAGGGTGAAATAGGTGAGGGGAATTAAGAGTACACTTATCATGATGATCACTGAGTAATGTGTAGAATTGTTGAATCACTGTATTGTACACTCAGAACTAATATAACATCTTACGTTAGCTATACTGGAATTAAAAGGAAAAATTTAATAAAATTGAAAAAAAAGAAAATAAAAAATACATTTGCAAAGAGAGAGAGAGAGAGAGAGAGAAAGAAACCAAGATACAGATGAATTTCAATTTATAGGAAAAATAAAAATTGAGAACCAGTAAATTCCTCCAACACTGAAATTATAGTTCTTCAGACACATTGCCATCATAGGGAAGTATGGAGGTAGACTGGGCAAATTTGAAGCAGGGTAAATAATTAAATAATATAGCCAGGTTCTAGAACAACAACAACAACAAGGTGCCATTTCAGTGAGTCACACATATATTTTAATATGAATGTCTTTTTAATGCTAACAGTATATACCCCTATTTGCTCATTTTATTCATCTACCACTTCAACAGATGTTTAATGAGTATCAATTTAAATGCCTAGCACTATTCTAGAATTATATATGTATATATATATGTATATATACACACATCCCTCCAGAATATAGGCCCCTTTTATGTGTGTGTGTGTGTATATATATATATATATATTCACACATCCATATACATATATATGTGTATATGCACATACACATATATAATATTATAGACATTTTATATACACATTATATATAACATATAATTTATCACGTGGTTACAAGTGCTATGGGGAAAAAG